GACGTCGCTCGCGGCGACGAGACGTAGCTCGCGGAGGCGAGACGTCGCTCGCGGAGGCGAGACGTCGCTCGCGGCGACGAGACGTCGCTCGCGGCGACGAGACGTCGCTCGCGGCGACGAGACGTCGCTCGCGGCGACGAGACGTCGCTCGCGGCGACGAGACGTCGCTAGCGGAGGCGAGATGTCGCTAGCGCGACGAGACGTCGCTCGCGGAGGCGAGACGTCGCTCGCGGAGGCGAGACGTCGCTCGCGGCGACGAGACGTCGCTCGCGGAGGCGAGACGTCGCTCGCGGCGACGAGACGTCGCTCGCGGCGACGAGATGTCGCTAGCGGAGGCGAGACGTCGCTCGCGGCGACGAGACGTCGCTCGCGGCGACGAGACGTCGCTCGCGGCGACGAGACGTCGCTCGCGGAGGCGAGACGTCGCTCGCGGAGGCGAGACGTCGCTCGCGGAGGCGAGACGTCGCTCGCGGCGACGAGACTTCGCTCGCGGCGACGAGACGTCGCTCGCGGCGACGAGACGTCGCTCGCGGCGACGAGACGTCGCTAGTGGAGGCGAGATGTCGCTAGCGGCGACGAGACGTCGCTCGCGGAGGCGAGACGTCGCTCGCGGCGACGAGACGTCGCTCACGGAGGCGAGACGTCGCTCGCGGTGACGAGACGTCGCTCGCGGCGACGAGACGTCGCTCGCGGCGGCGAGACGTCGCTCGCGGCGGCGAGACGTCGCTCGCGGAGGCGAGACGTCGCTCGCGGAGGCGAGACGTCGCTCGCGGAGGCGAGACGTCGCTCGCGGCGACGAGATGTCGCTAGCGGAGGCGAGACGTCGCTCGCGGCGACGAGACGTCGCTCGCGGAGGCGAGACGTCGCTCGCGGCGACGAGACGTCGCTCGCGGTGACGAGACGTCGCTCGCGGCGACGAGATGTCGCTAGCGGAGGCGAGACGTCGCTCGCGGCGACGAGACGTCGCTCGCGGCGACGAGACGTCGCTCGCGGCGACGAGACGTCGCTCGCGGAGGCGAGACGTCGCTCGCGGAGGCGAGACGTCGCTCGCGGAGGCGAGACGTCGCTCGCGGCGACGAGACTTCGCTCGCGGCGACGAGACGTCGCTCGCGGCGACGAGACGTCGCTCGCGGCGACGAGACGTCGCTCGCGGCGACGAGACGTCGCTCGCGGCGACGAGACGTCGCTCGCGGCGACGAGACGTCGCTAGTGGAGGCGAGATGTCGCTAGCGGCGACGAGACGTCGCTCGCGGAGGCGAGACGTCGCTCGCGGAGGCGAGACGTCGCTCGCGGCGACGAGACGTCGCTCACGGAGGCGAGACGTCGCTCGCGGTGACGAGACGTCGCTCGCGGCGACGAGACGTCGCTCGCGGCGGCGAGACGTCGCTCGCGGCGGCGAGACGTCGCTCGCGGAGGCGAGACGTCGCTCGCGGAGGCGAGACGTCGCTCGCGGAGGCGAGACGTCGCTCGCGGAGGCGAGACGTCGCTCGCGGCGACGAGACGTCGCTCGCGGCGACGAGATGTTGCTAGCGGAGGCGAGACGTCGCTCGCGGTGACGAGACGTCGCTCGCGGCGACGAGACGTCGCTCGCGGCGACGAGACGTCGCTCGCGGCGACGAGACGTCGCTAGCGGAGGCGAGATGTCGCTAGCGCGACGAGACGTCGCTCGCGGAGGCGAGACGTCGCTCGCGGAGGCGAGACGTCGCTCGCGGCGACGAGACGTCGCTCGCGGAGGCGAGACGTCGCTCGCGGCGACGAGACGTCGCTCGCGGCGACGAGACGTCGCTCGCGGTGACGAGACGTCGCTCGCGGCGACGAGATGTCGCTAGCGGAGGCGAGACGTCGCTCGCGGCGACGAGACGTCGCTCGCGGCGACGAGACGTCGCTCGCGGCGACGAGACGTCGCTCGCGGAGGCGAGACGTCGCTCGCGGAGGCGAGACGTCGCTCGCGGAGGCGAGACGTCGCTCGCGGCGACGAGACTTCGCTCGCGGCGACGAGACGTCGCTCGCGGCGACGAGACGTCGCTCGCGGCGACGAGACGTCGCTAGTGGAGGCGAGATGTCGCTAGCGGCGACGAGACGTCGCTCGCGGAGGCGAGACGTCGCTCGCGGCGACGAGACGTCGCTCACGGAGGCGAGACGTCGCTCGCGGTGACGAGACGTCGCTCGCGGCGACGAGACGTCGCTCGCGGCGGCGAGACGTCGCTCGCGGCGGCGAGACGTCGCTCGCGGAGGCGAGACGTCGCTCGCGGAGGCGAGACGTCGCTCGTGGAGGCGAGACGTCGCTCGCGGAGGCGAGACGTCGCTCGCGGAGGCGAGACGTCGCTCGCGGCGACGAGACGTCGCTCGCGGCGACGAGATGTTGCTAGCGGAGGCGAGACGTCGCTCGCGGTGACGAGACGTCGCTCGCGGAGGCGAGACGTCGCTCACGGAGGCAAGACGTCGCTCGCGGCGACGAGACGTCGCTCGCGGCGACGAGACGTCGCTCGTGTCTCGTCGGGTGATCGTCGCCGTCTCGTCGCCTTCGTCATCATGTCGTGCCGGTAAATCATCACCAGATATCATTGAGCCATCATCTCGCATCACCAGCGGGGGTAGTCGTCGTCGTCGTCGTCGTATTGTTGTCAATACATCCTTCATCAAAATCATCACCACCCGTATGATCATCTCACCATCGCAGCCAACATGACAGCCACCTCGCTATCGTCTTCACTGTCTTAGTGATGACGATAGCTGTACTAGTAACGAATTCACATGTTTTGTTTACGTGACAACCCTTACTAATTGGCTGTGTCGGGTGATGGTGGGTTCAACGACACATATATTTACGCGATCTAACCAAAAAAAAACCTGTATCATGGATCACTGTCTTCATCATCATCCATTAGACATTGCCACCACTGCGGTAATAACGGCATCATCACCACCGTTATCATCCCACCATCGTAACCACCACCGCCACATCATCATCGCCACCATCGCCGCCTCCACCACCCCACCATAACCTCATCACCACCACCCTCAACATCTCACCGTAAGTGCGCCACAGTGGCACACTCACGGTATGCAGGAGGTCGTGGGTTCAATCCTGATCCTGACGCCTGCTGTGTATTTGGAATTTGCATGTTCTCCCTGTGGTCACGTGGATTTAGAATGAACACCACGTGTTTAGACCAGGGGGTGGGCAACCCGTGGTTGCGGGGGCGCACGCGGCCCTTTAAGGGCTGCTGTCTTTGTGACGTCGTTCATCAAGGACCCCGCCGTCTCGTATTCACCACACGGTGCATCGCAGCTCTTGAAATATTTTTTTTTTCCACAGAATTCGAAAAACAAATGGCTCTTCTTGTCATTTTCCTGCCAACACTCTGGATTAGATCAATTGGCTGCTATAAATTTCCCACGTGATAAGCCACTTCGTTGAGGTGGCATCACGTGTGACCAGGTCGCTTCTGTGAAAGAGCTGCATAACTCAGCGGGTCTTGCTTTGGTAAATAAAGTAGTTCAGTTTCATAACCGAACATCACCACCACCACCACATCATCACCATTAACATCATCACGACCACCACTATAACCATCACCACACCATAGCCACCACTTCACCACCACCACAACGAGGAGGATACTAAACGACGACGTTTCCGTCCGGAAGTTGGCAGTGCAGCGTCTGTGCGCCGACCGCCTCCCCTGCCGCCGCTCCCCCCGTGAGGAGCAGCCCCTCGGCTCGCGCGACGGCGGCACACAACGCCGAGCGTCCGCTCGCCGGCCTCGCCCTCGCCGCCCGGCAGCCCGCCGGCCCCGCCTCCGCCGCCGGGAGTGGGGGGGCGGCGAGGAGGCGGGCCGGTTTGGCCGAGTCGGCGCCGGCGCCGCCGCCTTCCCCGTAGCGGCGCAGGATCAGGGGGCGTGACGCGCCGGCTCTGGCGCGTGCGCGGCTCTCCGCGTCGCTGGGGTGGGGGGGGATGAGGACAACGGCGATGACGGTGGTGAGAATCGCGCGGCTCCATCGCTTTGCCCGCGAGCGAGGTGGTCGCGCGCGAGCGGGATGGTCGCGCGACGAGCCGACGAGACGAAACGGCCGCCTCCACGATTTTGACGACGGGCCGCAGTTGCCGAATGTGCGGCACGCGGCGAAAAACGTCGCCGCGAATCCGCCAAGCAGGTCTGGACCTCTCCTGTAAAGCAACTTGCTCGCATGTAACTGGCGGCAGTGATTCAAGTTGCGCGCAACCGATCGCTCGGGCGCGAGAAGCGGCTTTAGAGCGTCAGTTGGCGGCACCTACGTGACGCGGAGAGAGGCCTGCAGCCTGCGCGCGGCCCAGGAGCAGTGCTCCATCCATGCCTGTGCGTCGTGGCCTCCGAACCCTTCGTCCAGTAGCCCTGCTCTCCCACACAGACCACACAGAGACGCACGCTGCCCTCTGAACTGGTCTCTGTACTGTAAATCAGGCCTGGTCCCTGCACCACCCAATTTATATCACTTTCATGGTAGCCCCCCACACAACAAAGATGGTCAACCGCATCGCGCGGTGCTTTCAGGTGCGCTTCTGCGGCCGTCTGGAACGCCCTTCCGATATTCGGAAAGCCGCTGGGAGCTACGGCCACTTTTAAATCATCATCTCGATTGACAAACTCATTTCTTTAGAACTTCTTTTTGCGTTTAGTTTGATGCACCTCCGGTTGGCACGGCTGGCTACGTGCGGTGCGAAAGAAGTTTCAAAGCCACGTGCGTAGCGGCGCCACCGGCGGCGGTGGCGCTGTGCGAGGCATTACCACGGATCGCCAGCGAGAGGGACGACATCGAGAAGCTGAGGACCGACGCGGGCAGCCCGGGCTGCGACGAACGGCTCTGTGCACCTGGTGGGGGGGTGGGGGGCGGTGAGCGACGGCACAAGGCAGCGCAACCGTAGGTAAGTCCGTCCGTAGCGTACGCCTGTGTTGGACCGCGCTAATCGGAGGTGCGCGGGGGGGGGGGCAACAAATTAAACATTAAAAGGTCCCGGAATTATCTGGCCGCTTCACTTTCATGAGACCCTCCACCGTCTGACGCAGCCAAACAATTATATCGTCACGAATCCAGTAAGTCGTGATAGCGCTCTAGATGTCCTGAAGATGGCTCGACGTGGTTTCAAGCGAAACGCCGGATCTCGGATCCCCTACCTGTGGTTTCGAGGATTGTTCTTCAGCTCAGCGGTGCGTGAGCTGAAGCAACGGCATGAAGCCATTTTCGGGACATCTCAGGCGTTATTTTGACTTCCTGGATCTTGTTCACGTGACGATTTAATCGTTCGGCTGTGTCAGATTCCGCAGGGTCCTGAGACAGCCAAGTGGCCAGATCATTCCGGGACCTTTTGAATGTTTAGTTTGTTGTCCTTCCCCCACACCTCCAATTAGCGCAGTTGGCTACGTAAAAAAAAAGTTTAACGTACTCACATTTGGCGCGTCGTTAAAATGCTGCACACCGCGTGACCAAGTTCATTCCGCCGGATCGTTCATATCGGCCAGATCGTTACGGGCGGTGACTTAACGGCTTAAAAACTCAAAAAATATATCACGAATCGCAACAGAGGCCGCGAAAATCTGGGCGGTAAGACGAGAGCCGTGTGTCCTTGAGGTCGCTCCTGCCTCTTGACGGGCGTTAACGAGCGACGGTAACGAGCGACGGTAGCGAGCAGCGGAACTCGCCTGCGTCGCTGCGGGGGCTCGGGTTGGATGCCTCCGCCTTCTTGGCCCTGGCCCTGTCACCTGCGGGCGGGGAGGGCGACTCCGTGAATGCAAACGAGCGGCACGAGGAGCCGTGCGTGTGTGGCGCCCGTCGAACTTCTTTCGCACCGCGCTGATCGGAGGTGCGGAGGGGTTGAGACGCAGGGCGCTGTTGGTGGCGGCGATGGTGCGGGCCGCCGGTCAACTTGACGTGGGCCTGGCCCGCGAGGAACCCGCCGGCAGACCGACCGACCAGTAACTGTACTGATGGGATTGTGATGCCATTCTGCGTGGTGAAGACGGATGGCGATGGGGGACGTGATGTGTTGATGGCGATAAAGATGGCTGTAGCGGCGATGGCAGTTGGCTGGGATGACGGGAGAATGGGTGATGGAATGATGATAATGATGATTATTGATGATGATAACCCATTTATGGCAATACTTGTGATGATGACAGGGTGGGTGATGGAACGATAACGACGACAATTATTACAACACTGACGATATTAATGATGACGGCAACAACGTCAGTGACATCCATGGCGACAACGATTGTATCGTCAAGGATGACATTAGCGACGAGGACGACGTTAAACAGAGCAGTGACAATCACAACAACGAGGACAACAACAACAACAACAGCGAACGATGGCCCCTCACCGCACCTCGTGGTGGCCCCGGCGCCACCACCCCCGGCCGGTGCCTGTTCCCCGTCTCGGCCGCCGCCGCCGCCGCCTTCGCCTCCCGGTCCCTTGGCGCCGCTTTCTCCGCTCGTCCGTCGGGGAGCTTGGTGGGTTCCGGTGTTCCGCCGCCGCCGCCGTCACTACCGTCGCCGTCCGTGCCGCCGACGGCCCCGGCTGACGGAGCGGCCAGCGCGGAGAGCTCCGGCCAGCTGCACTGGACGATGTTGCGCAAACCCTGGAACGGAATCACGGGCGGCCGTCACGACGGTCCCGATGGCGCCCCCCACCCCCCCTCCCTCCCACCTCGTGCGCGTGAGAGTCGCGCCCCAAATGTATTTGTCTGCTCGCTGGGCTTGGCGGTGACACTGGGATTAACGGTCGTGCACAGTCGCAAACTGACGCACCTCGATGATGGTAATACAATTCCTTGAGATGGACAAAGACAAAGATCCCCCGTGTAGCCTGTAACAGAGTGTAGGGGCAAGTGCTGTTAGCGAGCACCTATGAAGGCCGGAATGGTACACGAGGGGGTGGGTGGCCAGCACCACGCCCGACCGCCTTTGTCTCCCCAGTGGCGATGTTTACACACCGCACCGGGTACTCATTTGAGGCTGAGTCGACCTAGGGGAGTCGACCTAGGGGAGGCCCATGACCGGTTCAGATAATCGTCACCGGTGTTGGCCGTGAGCGGGAATCGAACCCAGGTCGCCGGGTTCATAGCGCAGCGTAGCGCTAACCGCTACACACACACAATGACACACACACAGTGACGCACACACACACAGTGACACACACACAGTGACACAACAACAACAACAACAACCGCCATTCGCCACTAAGTGGCGGTGACGTCACCACGACGCTTGTGCCAGGCTATGTGCACCCTGAGGCCACGTGAAGTTTCGAACGCCCGCTGGCAGGAGGTCACGGGGCAGACCCAGGTGCCACGGGTCGACTGACTGAGATGACTGGCTGATGCACCACCTGTGCCCCCTACTGTGCCAACCTGCTGTGCTTTAGCCACCCGGCGCTCCGCTCGTTGTTCTGAGGGTCGCTCCTCCGCCCTCCGTTGTTGTTGGAGGGCGACTACCTCTAACTGCCCAGTAGCATCCTTCACGAGCCTCCTCCACAGAGGCCGATCTTGACACCGCTGGTACCAGTCATCGGCAAGTCCACTCAGCTCCACGTCCTCCTGTACCACATCACTCCATCTCTTCTCTAGCCCGTGCCGCGCCCGCTTAGCCCCCTCAATCCGGCCAAACAAAAGCTGTTTCGGCATGCGGTGGCTGGGCATGCGGGCTACATGACCCAGCCATCGCAGCCTTGCCTGCCGGAGGAGCTCACCGATGGGACCCTGCCCAGATCTTTCAAGGATTTGTGAGCTCCTCACACAATCCAGTCTGGTTAAACCCAGGATGGATCGTAGGCAGACCAGCCTAAATGTTTCTAACCGGCGAAGATGTTCCATTAGGGGGGTCCACGTTTCGCAAGCGTAAAGAAGGGAGGGAATGACCGTGGCCGAGAAGACCTGAAGCTTAGTGCGGAGCGACAGACCAGGTAGCTTCCACACAGCGTTACGCAACCGATGAAAAGATATTGCCGCTCGACTGATTCGGAGTGAGACCTCTGCTGTTAAACTGGAGCCAGTCATAAGCACACTGCCCAGGTATGGGAAACTTTCCACTCTCTCCACAACTGCCCCATCACCGATTGGGAGTTGTGGGGGTGGAGTGTCCGATGGTACAAAATACCCAGGCAGGTGCTTAGTTTTGGTGGGGCTGATGGTAAGGCCCCACCTCTTAGTGGCACGCTCCAGTCTCAGCAGCAGCGTCTCCAACTCCTCCTCTGACTGAGCAGCTATTACCAAATAATCAGCATACATAACGTGGTTGAGCAATAGGGAGCCATCCCTTGACCGCACCCGGGCATCGATTAGCCTCCCATTATATCTGTACCATATGGAGATTCCCCCGGTACAGCTATTGAAGGCTTCATGAACTAGGTGGTCAAAATAGATGTTAAATAATGTGGGAGCCAGAGGACATCCCTGTCGCACCCCAAGGTGTACAGGGAATGGCTCTGACTCCCGGCCACGTAGTTTTATCCGGGCCCGCTCACCATCATGAAGGTCCTTAATGATCGTGAGCAGAGGGTCAGGTACTCCAAAAGCACGAAGAACGACCCAGAGCCCAGGCCTACTGATGGTATCGTAGGCCTTGACCAGGTCAATAAAGCAGAGATGTAGGTCTTGTTGGAATTCCCTACACCTCTGCTGTAACAGACGGACAGAAAATATGGCATCTGTGCAGGACCGCCCTTTCCTGAAACCGCATTGGGGCTCCACAAGCCTCTCCTCAGCGTGCCTGGCAAGGCGATGCTGAATAATCCTTGCCAGGACCTTTCCCGGCACACTGAGGAGTGAGATGCCCCTGTAGTTGTTACAGTCTGTGCGGTCCCCCTTCTTAAAAAGGGGGACCACCAGGGCATCCTTCCAATCCTGCGGAACCCGTCCAGTGGTCCAGACTGTTGTTATGATGTCATATAGGGCAGTCTGTGCACAAACGCCACCCTCACTCAGCATTTCGCTTGGGAGATCATCTCTGCCTGCTGCCTTTCCTGGTTTCAGACTCCGGATCGCCTTCAATACTTCCTCAGCAGATGGCACCTCAGCCAGCCACTCACAGGGGGGTGACTTCTTCCAATATTTGAGGCACCGCAGCCTCAGCAGGGTCATCCTCACTTTGTGCCGCGATGTTTTCCTGGCTCAGGGATTTTCCCTCCCCCAGGACCTCACAGAAATGCTCAGCAAATCTGCGAACCTGTTCCTGGGGGTCGGAAATTGGATCACCGTTTTTTCCCCTAATGATGGTAATAGGTGTGGCGCTGCAGGTTACTTTTTTGATAGAGTTAAATAGAGATTTGTGATCACGGGCCACTGAGGCAGACTCCATCTCCTCAGCAACCCGCGACCACCACCCATCCTTGCAGTGCCTCATGGCTCTCCGAACCTCCGAACGAAGGCTGCGGTAAGCCTCCTCATTCTCTGACGTGGGATTCTGTAGCCGATGACAGTGGGCCTGTCGCTTTTTCTCAACCATCCTGAACACCTCCTCTGTCAGCCAGGGTCTCTGGGGAGGTCTGGACCGCGTACCCAAAGCAGCCATTGCAGCTGCATGAGTCACAGTCCTAAACCTCGCCCATTTACCCTCGACATCAGGAGGAGTCGGGGACGATGCCAATCCCAGCCGCAAGCGATGATGAAATTCTCGCTTGCAACTTTCATCAGATAACTGAGACCAGGCCACTTTATGTTGGAATGGGGTCCTGGGTGTACACCCACCACCGGAGTGGAAGAATGGCAGGCGCATCTTACAGATGACTAGTCGATGGTCAGAGGGCAGATCAGCTCCACGGTAGGTCCTGGTATCAAGGACATGGGCTCGCATTCGCTGGTCCGTCACTATGTAGTCCAGCAGATGTTCTTGCTTGGACCCGGCATGCATCCATGATGTTGTGTGGATGCGCCGATGCCGGAACAGCGTGTTGGTAATTACAAGCCCATGGGCTGCACAAAAATCTAGCAGCCTCCTACCGTTGTTATTGAGCTGATCTGGCCCATGCCCTCCAATCACTCCAGACCAGGTGCCAGTATCATGACCAACTCGGGCATTGAAGTCACCCAACATGATGACTCTATCCCGAGGGGCCATTTTAGCCAGCACCTGTGACAGGAGGTCATAGAAGGCATCTGACTCATCGGCTTTGCCTGCATCCCTCCACGGATGTTCATCTTCGGTGGGGGCATAAGTAACCACGACCACCATTCCTCGCCTCCGGTTGATGGGAAGGCGAGCCCAAAGTAGCCTGGGGCTTACAGCTTCCCACACCTCACCGCCACGCTCCCACGCCCCCTTCATTCTTTTGTTCAAACGAAGACCCACACCCTGTTGTTTAGCAGTCTGCTGCCCCGAGTAGAGGACTGTCCACCCCTCATGGTGGCAGGAGCCAGAGCCGGTCCACCGGACCTCCTGAATGCCGCATAGATCCAGGCGGTACCGGTCCAGCTCCCGACAGAGGAGTGGCAGCCTCTCCTCTGCAGTGAGCGTTCGAACATTCCACGTGGCCACCCGTAGTGGCTTTTCGTTGTTTCTGGAGTAGCCCCGAGGGTAGGTATTCAATCTCCTGGCTCCGCCAATTGGGGTTTGGCCAGGAGACGTCATAGACGCCTGGCCCCCCGGGGCCTCCGGCACAACCTTATTAGTTACATATTTCAGTTTAAGTCGTGGTTTCGTGGTAATTAATTGAAGGTGGAGGGGTTACCAGCCCCTCGCACCCGTCCAGAGCCCCCGTTTAGCCCCTGTGGTGGACACATATGCCATGAGGGGAGGAGCCAATCAAAATTGGATCTCCCCCCACAGCACTGTCCACGACAGAGTTGCCCGTCCGGCACCGCGAGGAGGTAAGGGGTTGTTTTGCCGGACAGTGACACACACACAGTGACACACAGTGACGCACACACACAGTGACACACACACAGTGACACACACACAGTGACACACACACACAGTGACACACACACAGTGACACACACACACGTGCACAAGGGTATCCAGAGGGTGCGATGGCGCGATGTGGTCGGCTAGGTGACGTTGCGCCGATAGCGAGGAACAAATATTCGCCGCTGGGAACAAATCTTCGTTCTCTCGGGGGTTACAAATAATCACCAAGATGTATTTGTTCCTGGTCGGCGGCGGAGGGGGTGGAACCAATAACATTTCTTAACTTTCGAGTATTTGGCTGTTGTAAATGTCCACGTGATGATGATGATGATAAGCCGCTTCATTGAGCCCTCATTTGTGGCCAGGTCGCTTCTGAAAAATAAGTTCACACCTCAGGTGGGCTTTGCCTGGTAGGATGGGGATGGTTGTGTTTGGGTGATTTAAAAAAAAACATTTCCTGTACTTTGCACTACTTTCGTTTTTTTGTATTGTTTGCTGTTGTAAGCTTTCTAGCTTATCGGATTCCTCCAGTATAAATAAATATTCTGATTAAAAATAAATATTCTGAAGTGCTGCTGTCGGGCACTACCTCGGGCCGGGCCAGACTGCAGCGCTGTACCGGCTCAGCGGGCCTTACCTGGTAAAATAAAAAAATATATATATAGTTTGAGTTTAATTCGTTCTTGGTTAGAACAAATAATTGATCGGTGGATCACGTGCTTGATGGTGCGGACCATCGTGTTCCACGTGGCGTGTGCGGGCGTCACCTGGGGGAGGTTGAGGCCAGCGCGCGTCACCGAGTCCAGCACCAGGCCCAGCTCGAGCAGCAGGAGCCGCACGCGTTCCGGCGACGGGCCCCTCCAGCCATCGCCGAGGGGTCTACAGGGCGCGCAACGAACGAAGGAGCGGTGGCGCAGTGGTTAGCGCGCTAACCACTGCGCCACCGTTCCGCATGCACGTACGTACATGCATACACACCTACGCATGTACACACACACACACAAACGCACTGATATTTAACACATAAATCCACACCTATTAGAAACACTGACATCCCCGCTTAGCCACACAGCCCTTTTTTGGGGCGCAAGTGCTGATAGCGAGCAGCTATGAAGGCCGGCGCGAGGAGGAAGAGGCGGTGGCGGCAGCGCGCGCCCCCTCGCGGTTGACGGGCGAACGTCGGCAACGCTCTGAGTCGCTCGGCACCTCTTGGCTTGCGCGTCCTGCAGGGAGAAGAAGCCGAATCGCTCCTCGGCCCCCGGCCGCTCCTCCGTGGGGGACTCCCGCGGGCCGCCGTGGCTCCCCTCCTCCCTGGGGCTGCCCCCCGGCTGCCCGGGTCTCCGCTGCTGCCCAGGGGCTCTGAGGCCCGGACCCTGGCTGAGAGAGGAGTCGCGGGGGGGGGGGGGGGCGGTGGTCGGTGGTGCAGATGCCGGGCGTGGGTAAAGGTGCAGCCCCGCAATTGCTTGCTCACGCCACTGCTGGGTGGAAGAGAGAACTCCGGAGGGCATTTGGTCAACACTCTTTAGACTACCCACATAGCCACACTCTACCCCACCACACGTTGACCTGCCGATCGATGTAACCGTCAGATTATTGGACGAAACCGGGCCCGTTTTTGAAATCGCGACCGAAACGAAACCGGCTAAGGCTCCACTGAGCTCCGTAGCTCTTGTTTTCAGAAGTGACCTGCCCACGAAAGATAGCTCAACGAAGTGGCTCATCGTCATCACGTGGAAATTCACAAGCGGCCAATTGCCCGAAGCGCACACGTCCATTCTAAACGCAGAGGGTTGGGAAAAAAAACCCGGAGGACGCGGAGAAAAATCCCCGCGACACGCGGGGAGAGCACCGACTGCGGTGTAACCAAGTCCCCGTCGCATTAAAGCGTTTTTTTTGTGCCGTGAGCACCTGGGCCTCGCGCTTGTCCACGGAATATCTCTACCCGTCGCTCGTGCGTGGTACTGGACTCTTGTTCAATAACACAAACAAATATTGCCCAATGGGATTTTACCTGTGCCGACAATAAGATCTAAACCTAAATCACACCGACACAGCAACGACAACAGCGGCTGCGCCCCTGGCACCGTCGCGATGTTACCTGTTGGCTGGCGCACCCCGGGGGCTGGCAGGGACCCCCTGCGCCCGTGCGGGGACCCGGTACACCTGACCGGGGACCCGGGGAACCCCGCGCTGTGGGTAGACGAGAAGGAGAGGGCACAGTCAGACCGCGCCGGGCAGCAAAACACCCGCTCGACCCTGGGTCGTTTTGACATTGCGTTCGTCTCGTGTTTGTATTGGCGGCGGCGCGGCCTGGATCGTTCAACGAGAACCAATCTCAATGTTGGGAACTCCGCAATGGGAGCGGTGCATCACGTGGAAATGTTTCGCGACCGAATAGTCTAGACGCGCGGTTGTTGAGTCGAGGAGGGGAAACCGGGAGGACCCGGAGAAAAATGCGCGCGACCACGGGCTGAGAGAGACACCGCAAACTCCACACGTGTACAGCAGGCGTCGGGGTCGCGATCGCGAGTAACCGGCATTCACGTGCCGCGTAGCGTAGCCACCGTCACCGCCCGTCGATGTGACGGGACGGAAGAAGGGATTGCGGAGAGGACGAAATGGAACTCGAGCCAAGAACCTTGCCCATGGGCAAGAGAGACGAGGAGGGAGGAGGAGGAGGGGAGGAGGGGAGGAGGGAGGAGGGGAGGAGTGAGGAGGAGGGAAAGGGCACCTGGTGGAAGAAGAAGGTGGAATCGGCCAGCACAGGCATCACGCTGTCCGCGTCGGGCAAGGTCCACTCGGGTGCTTCCATCGTCGTCGCTCGGCCCCCCGTAGGTACGCTCAGCCTGAACGCACGGAGAGACACGTGGGGACACGAGGTGAGATGCGCAGACTTACTAAGCGTACACTGCAGCTCTAAATAAAAGACAAAGATCCCCTGTATAGCCTTAACAGACTGCGTGGCCAGCACCAGTGGCGATGTTTACACACCAGGTACTCGTTTGAGGCTGAGTCGACTGTAGGGGAAGCCCAGTCCAGGACCGGTTCAGGTGTTTTTCACCGGCGTTAGCCGTGAGCGGGAATCGAACTCGGGTCGCCGGATTCAGAGCGCAGCGCGCTAACCGCAACACCACCGCAGCCCTGATATAAGCGCACGCACGCACGCACACACGCGCGCACACACGCGCGCACACACGCGCGCACACACGCACGCACACACGCGCGCACACACGCGCACACACACGCACGCGCACACACATGCACACACACGCACACACGCGCACACACGCGCGCACACGCGCACACACATGCACACACACGCACACACGCGCACACACGCGCGCACACATGCACACACGCGCACACACACGCGCACGCGTGCACACACACGCACACACACGCGCACGCGTGCACGCGGAGACGAAGAGACACGCGGAGACTCGCGGGAAGACGTGGATCGGTCACTGCGAGACGTGTCGACTGACTCAAGGCGAGACTCGCTGGGGAAATGGGGGGGGGGGGGACTGACGGAGGAGGGTGCCGGGGGTTGCTGGCACGAGGAGACTCGCGTGAACACGAGGAGACTCGCGTGAACACGTGGAGATTCGCGTGAACACGGGAGACTCGCGTGAACACGAGGAGACTCGCGTGAACACGAGGAGACTCGCGTGAACACGGGGAGACTCGCGTGAACACGAGGAGACTCGCGTGAACACGGGGAGACTCGCGTGAACACGAGGAGACTCGCGTGAACACGGGAGACTCGCGTGAACACGGGGAGACTCGCGTGAACACGAGGAGACTCGCGTGAACACGAGAAGATTCTCGTGAACACGGGGAGATTCGCGTGAACACGAGGAGACTCGCGTGAACACAGGGAGACTCGCGTGAACACGAGGAGACTCGCGTGAACACGAGGAGACTCGCGTGAACACGGGGAGATTCGCGTGAACACGAGGAGACTCGCGTGAACACGAGGAGACTCGCGTGAACATGAGGAGATTCGCGTGAACACGGGGAGACTCGCGTGAACACGGGGAGATTCGCGTGAACACGGGGAGACTCGCGTGAACACGGGGAGACTCGCGTGAACACGGGGAGACTCGCGTGAACACGGGGAGACTCGCACAGAAGAAAAAAAGCTCGCGGTGACGCAAGAATTAAATCGAGGAGGACAAAACTTAAATCGAGGAATCCACGGGGAGATGCGGGATCAAAGCCACAGCTGTCAACCCCTACTCAGTGCTGCCTACTTCCTTGTTACAGAGCAATTCACCCGGTGCCCATTATACATCTCAACGTTCATCCTACAAAGTCCCATCACAAGGGGAGAAACACAAACAAATAAACAATAACCACCACGACACTCACTAGTACACTCACACTAGTATACTCACCACTACACTCACCACTACACTCACCACTCTATACCTGTCAACCCCTTATCAGCGCCCTACCTTATAACAGACCAATTCGGACCTTACTGGTCACCCCGTGAGCATTAAGACACGGGGACACACGTAGCGATACGCGGATCTACTGAGAGGCGCGGGGGTCATACAATGAGCGCCACGGTGGCTCGGAGATGTTAACTACCTCGCTTGGTATACAGGAGGTCGTGGGTTCAATCCCGACCCTGACACCCGCTGTATATTTGGAGTTTGCGTGTCTCTCTCTTGTTATCACCACGGTAGCTAGGAGATGTTAACTACCTCGCCTGGTATACAGGAGGTCGTGGGTTCCATCCCGACCTTGACGCCTGCTGTATATTTGGAGTTTGCGGTGTCTCTCTCCCCGTGATCACGTGGATTTTTTTCCGGGTCCTCCGGCTGTTCCCCCTCAACATTAAGAATCAACATCGCGCGTTCAGAGTATTCGGCCGCTGTAAATGCCCACGCGATGACACCAAGCCGAGTTTCGTTTGGGCTATCATTCGTGGATATCCAGGGTCGCTTCGGGGGAAGAAAATGATCTACGCGGCTCAGTGGGCACCTTACCTGGTAAAGTAAAATAAATGTCTTGAGTTTAACACAGGGAGCTACGTGCAGCAAGCGAAGACTCAGGCGCACACGTGACGAACGCCACGGTACACGCACGCGCGCGCACACAGAGCCCACGTTGTTGACACGGAGCGTGCGTTGGGCGTTCCGTTGCTGTTCAACAGTTGGAGCGGTGGCGCAGCGGTTGACGCGCTGAGCATTTGTGAACCCGGCCAGCGTCAGCGGGCAGCCAAGGACGGTGACATCTGAACCGCGTTGTGTGCGCGTCTACGCGGCACCCCACCCCCTCCTCCTCCTCCTTACTGCAACCCGGCCCTGTACAGCGTGGCGAGGTATGGTTGAAACTACGCTCACGGCCCGATACGGCGTGCAAGTGGAGCGCCATAGTCATCCAGCAGCGGATGAACAACGGGACCCGACGTTTAGAGTCGTGAACAAATCTAACAGCGGCACATAGCGTCTGCATCTGTCAATGGCGCTGCACACCGATACACGACAATCAACACATCACACAAACACACAGATCAAGACAATCACAAGTGATGTGACCTCACTCTTTACCCAGCGCCCCACCACTGATGATGATGTTAAGTTATGACGATGTTAGTTATGATGATGATGAGAGTTATGATGATGAGAGTTATGATGATGTTAGTTGTGATGATGTTAGTTATGATGATGTTTCGTTCCGATGATGGTGGTGGTGGAGAAGAGTTTGAAAACTTCTCTGTCCGGTGTCAAACCGTGACTCCAGCGCTCGGCCTCCGATCACTAATTGCCGTCCAATCTCGCGTTCGTTCGCTTTGTTGGCGCAGTCAATCGGTGAGTTAATTCGTTTATAATTTACGGAAAGAACCAAAAGAACCTCCCCCCCCCCCAGCCCCCCAGAATTAATTAATTCCAACACCAGGGTGGTCAGAGCTTCCCGTCCATTACCACCGATCGAATCCCACCGATCGCAGACTCCACATCAAACAAACCTCCTACCGTGTCCGCAAGCCTTGGACGTTTCAATTTTGACGTGGAGCCCCACCAAACATTCCCAGCGCCGTGCCGCCACGAAAAACGCACACGCGCCAGAAGGAAGACGAATGGGGGGGGGGTTGGTTAGTTGGTGGTGGTGGGGGAGAGAGACAGAGAGACCCTGGCAGGCCGGCCTGTAAATGCGCGCGCGTGTGTGCGTTCTTCGTGGGAGTCATCGGGGCGTCGGTAAACCCACGTTGCCAGGATACATCTCGCCGCAATGAACTCGAAGAAGTTAGCGCTGTGCAAAAAAAAATCCCCCCCCCCTTTGTCTCGCTCTCGCTCGCTCTCCTTCACGACGTGGAAAAACCACGGCGCGCTCGTTGGCGAAACTCCAGCTCGGATGCCATGCCATGATTTTTTTTCACCGATTTCATTGACTCGAACGAGTATGAGAGTAATCGGTTACTCCACTATGAGTTGTCTAAGTAATCTGCGGAATGTTTTTTTTTAACATCCCCTCCCAAACCACCACCCCCACCCCTAACCATACCCCACCCGCTCCCACCCCGAATAGCTGGGGGAGATAATAACATATTTTTCGGAGCTCAGCCCTGGACAGCTCCGCCGGAAGTGAATTGTTAATAGTGAGGCGTGCTTGTTTAAACTTAGACAAGCCTGGCTCTGCTGATGAACAGCCTGGATATCCAAACCGGTCCAGAGTTTGTTTGCCTTAACAAACGCTGCTTGATGACATTATTGTATGATGGCAAAAGCACACATGTCAACCCCTTGTCAGTGCCCTACCATATTACAGACCAATTCAGACCTTATTGGTACCCCGTGCCCTTATCAATCTCAACGTTCATCCTACAAAGTCCCATCACAAGGGAGAAACACGAACAAATAGACAAAAAATCGTTTTTTTGCCCTATTGAAACGGCTGTACGCCGTATGCACCTGGAATCTCAATTTCCCTGTACAAGAATACGGGGTAACCCATATGGGTTTACAGGTATGCTTCAACATTGGAGTTTAAAGGAGACTTTATCACTGGAGTCTATGGGAGACATCAACATTGGAGTCTATAGGAGACTTTAACATTGGAGTCTATGGGAGACTTTAACATTGGAGTCTATGGGAGACTTTATCACTGGAGTCTATGGGAGACATCAACATTGGAGTCTATAGGAGACTTTAACATTGGAGTCTATGGGAGACTTTAACATTGGAGTCTATGGGAGACTTTAACATGGAGTCTATGGGATACTTTAACATTTAAATCTATGGGAGACTTTGACATCGGAGTCTATGGGAGACTTTAACATTTGAGTCTATGGAAGACTTTAACAATGGAGTCTATGGGAGACTTTAACATTGGAGTCTTTGGAAGACTTTAACATTGGAGTCTATGAGAGATTGTAACATTGGAGTCTATGGGAGACTTTAACCAACCTGTTTTTTTTGGAAGTCGTGATATATGCGGTGCATTCTCATCGCTCAGTACGCCGTTCCGTGAGCGACCGTGGTGAGTGGTCACGCCGTCATGCACGCCAGACGTGCTGCTGCAACACGTGGGATGCCGCTGGCTCCCCACGTGCCAGCATTGAGATTGACTCTTTGGATTGTCCACCTTTGTGACGACACACTGGTGGCGTGGTGCATCAACCCTGGCGCTGGGTAATGATTGTCTGATACCAACACCCCACCATTCGCCACGAAGTGACGGTGATGTCACCATGGTGCCAGTGCCAGGCTAGGTGCACTTTGAAGCCACGCGAAGTGACGAAGGCTCGCTGGCAGGAGGTCTCGGGACAGACCCAGGTGCCTTGGGTCGGCTGACTGAGGTGACTGGCAGATGCATCAGCTGTACCCGCTATTGTGCCAACTTTCTGCATTTTATCCGCTCGGCTCTCCGCTCGTTGTTGTGAGCGTCGCTCCTCTGCCCTCCGTTGTTGCTGGAGGGCGACTGCCTCCAACTGCCCAGCAGCATCCTTCACGAGCCTCCTCCACAGAGGCCGATCTTGACACCGCTGGTACCGGTCATCGGCAAGTGCACTCAGCTCCACATCCTCCCGTAACGCATCAGCCCCGTTTAGCACCCTCTATGCGGTCAAACGGAAGCTGCTTGGGCATGCGGTGGCTGGGCATGCGTGCTACATGCCCCAGCCAACGCAGCCTTGCCTGCCGGAGGAGCTCACTGATGGGAATGTGTCCAGATCTTTCAAGGATTTGTGAGCTCCTCACACAATCAAGCCCGGTTAAACCCAGGATGGATCGTAGGCATGCCAGCCTGAATGTTTCTAAGGGGCGCAAATCTTCCATTAGAGGGGTCCACGTTTCACAAGCATAGATAAAGGGAGGGCATAACCGTGGCCGAGAAGACCCGAAGCTTAGTGCGGAGCGACAGACCAGGTAGCTTCCACACAGCGTTTCGCAGCCGATGAAAAGATAATGCCGCTCGACTGATTCGGAGTGAGACCTCTGCTGTCAAACCGGAGCTGGTCATGAGCACACTGCCCAGGTCTGGAAAATTATCGACTCTCTCCGCAACTACTCCATCACCAATAGGAAGGTGAGGGGGTGGAGTGTTTGGTAGCACAACATACCCAGGCAGGTGCTTAGTTTTGGTGGGGCTGATGGTAAGGCCCCATCTCTTAGTGGCACGCTCCAGGTTCAGCAGCAGCGCCTCCAACTCCTCCTCTGAGTGAGCAGCAATCACCAGGTCATCAGCACTACATAATAACGTGGTTGACCAATAAGGAGCCGTCCTTCCTTTTCTACCAAAGCACCACGGTGGAAACACCAAAATAAGCCCGTGATAGATACCCACCTCACTTCCCTCCCTCTCCCTCCCCTCACCTCCCCCTCCCCACCTCCCTCGACCCCTCCCAACCTCTCTCGACCCCTCCCCACCTCTCTCGACCCCTCCCCACCTCTCTCGACCCCTCCCCACCTCTCTCGACCCCTCCCCACCTCCCTCGACCCCTCCCCACTTCTCTCGACCCCTCCCCACTTCTCTCGACCCCTCCCCCCCTCCAACCGGTTTAGTCTCCACCCCTCCGACCCACTCCACCCATGCCCCCCCCCTTCCAACCGTCCAAACTGTTTAGTCCCCCCCCTCCACTCCCTCTACCCCTCCCCCCCTCCAACTGTTTAGTCCCCGCCCCCCCTCCCTCCACCGCTTCCCCCCACCTCCAATCGTTTAGTCCCTCCCCTCCACCCGTCACCCCCCTCCACTCCATCCACCCCTCCAACCGTTTAGTCCCCGCCCCCTCACCCCCCTCCAACCGTTTAGTCCCCGCCTCCTCACCCCCTCACCCCCCTCTACCCGTTTAGTCCCCGCCCCTCCACCCCCACCCCTCACCCCCCTCCAACCGTTTAGTCCCCGCCTCCTCACCCCCTCACCCCCCTCCACCCGTTTAGTCCCCGCCCCTCCACCCCCACCCCCTCACCCCCTCCACCCGTTTAGTCCCCGCCCCCTCACCCCCTCACCCCCCCTCCACCCGTTTAGTCCCCGCCCCTCCACCCCCACTCCCTCACCCCCCCTCCACCCGTTTAGTCCCCGCCCCCTCACCCCCCTCCACCCGTTTAGTCCCCGCCCCTCCACCCCTCCCCCCAGCCCCACCGCCGCCTCTTTTCCCAGCGTGCACCGCACGCGCGACAACGCTTTGGCCCGTGATGGACGACTCGGAGCGGCCCGTGATGAACGGCAAGAAGGAGGACGAGGAGAAGGAGGAGGAGGAGGCGGGGGAGGAGGAGGAGGACGACGCTGCCGCCGCCGCCGCGGTGGACGAGTCGGCGGGGGCGCAGAAGCTGAAGAAGAAGAAAAAGAAGAAGAAAAAGAAGTCTGGTAACGAGGCACTTGCCGCCCCCCCCCTCCCGCTTTTAGTTTCGCCACAGCGGATGGGCGCCGCGACGCTCTGTGCCCGCGCGCCATTGGTCGGCGGGGCCGCTCGCGCCGCGCCGTTGGGCCAATCGCGCGCCGCGTTGCTTGCGCGGTCGCCTATCGAGTGTAGGGTATTGAGGTGGAGGCCTCCCCGCTCTCCCCCCCCACCCCATGTCAATCTCATGTCGTGTACACGTGAACGCATGACACGCGACATGCGTGTGTGTGTGTGTCTGCGCGCGCGCGTGTTGAACTTCCTTCGCGAGGTACGTAGTTCAACCGTGGTTGCTGATCGGAGGTGCGTGCGAGGAGGAGGGGCTGAGGGATACGACAATTAAACACAAAAATCAGTTGTAAAGAAACGATCTTGATTTGATTTGATCTAAAGTAACGAGTTTATCGATTATGATGATTTGGAAGCGCCGTAGCTCTCCAGTGGTGGCGTAGCTGACAACTCAAAACACCTTAACCGCGTATTCTTGTTCCAGGGAAGTTTTTCACGTCCACACGGCGTACAGCCGTGTCAATACGGGCAAGAAAAAAAAATGCAATGTCATTGTTTATCCCTTGTGATGGGACTTTGTAAGGATGAACGTTGAGATTTATAAGGGACGCGGGGTGACCAATGAGCTCTGAATTGGCCTGTGATAAGGTAGGGCACTGATGAGGGGTTGACAGGTATGTGGCAGTGACTTTCTCAGCCGTCGTCTTTGCCGAGGCAACGGCGGCGATGGGCTCGCACAGCCCCAGAAATGGACATCTGTGGTGGGCGGGGGGGGGAAGAAGAGCTTCATGGCTCATCGGATTCCTCCTGAATCTTATTGTCAGTCCACTGCTGGGCGAGCGATGGCCCTGGGCACGGCGTTGCTGGACCTGACGGTTTACACGTGACCCCGGCTTGTGTCGGTGGTGGGATTGAAGGTCAGGCAGCATAGGGCGTCTGAGCGTAGTAGCGTACAACACTGTCGCTGCTCTTTCTCCCAACGGCATGCATAGCCCAACGACAGCCCATAACCCCTGTGCTTTCGCAGGGTGGCGATTTACCCGTGGTAAGGACTAAGCAGGGTCCGCTGCCGAGGTGTGGCTAAAGTGAGGGCGCGTAACTAATGTGATTTGGTCATAGGCGTGCGAATAGCGGGACTTGTCATGCGGCCTCGAATCTGTCTTAATTACAAACACAAATTTAATTAGCACTGCGAAGTGGCGGGGACGCCGTGAAGTTCGTCGGCTGCTGTAGAATAGCGTGGGATGAGAGCCGCCTTGTACTTGTGCGGAAGCAGATTTTTGTTATTAAAATTGGGGATTATGGTAAGATTAAGACCAATGAGACACCCCCGCAGCA